TATATTAATAAGAGAGATATATATTTAGATATATATATATATATGTACAATTTTTTTAACAAATAATATGTGTTTTATAAAGATAAAAATAATAATATCACAACATTTTAAACTTAAAATATGGTTTTTAATCACAATAGAAAAATCATGGTAAATTGTATTTTAAATATGTTATGGGATAAAATAATTAAATAAATAAATAAATAAAATACTTGTTGGAAATAGAATGCATTAATTACCTTTGACTTTTTTTACTACTAATTTTAGTAAATATGATAACTTTTTATATAAGTATAGATTTGATGTTAGCGTGTTATCCTATTTTTAAATGGGAAAATTCTATTGGAAGGCCTAACTTTTAGTATATGTATTAATATAAGGCCTGAATTTTATACTTTTTCAATTGAAGGCTTACATTTTATGTTATTCTCACTTTAAGACTTACTTTTTAGTTAACTTTTCATTATAAGGCCCAACTAACTTTACCTTTTCATATAAATATGTAAAACAATTATTATGTGAATAAAAGTTTTATTTTTATTATTATTATTATTATTATTATTATTATTATTATTATTATTATTATTATTATTATTATTATTATTATTTTACATACTCATAATAAAAAATAATAAATATCTTTAGTAAAATTATATTAATAAAAAATAAAACTATATAAATTACAGTGATAAAACATTGGAATTAAGATAGTAAAATTATATTAATAAAAAATGAAACTATATAAACATCTATTTTCAATGATGTAAATTTTCATTGTTAACCTTTTTTCATAAATATAATTTATATAGTTTCGCATCATTGTAATTTATATACTTTCAATTTTTATTAATATAATTTTACTAAAGATATTTATTGTTTTTTTATTATAATTATGTAAAATATAAATTACAAAATAATAATAATAATAATAATAATAATAATAATAATGGTAATAATAATATTTTTATTAATAATAGTTGTTTTACATATTTAAATGAAAAAATAAAGTTAGTTGAGCCTTATAATGAAAAGTTAACTAAAAAGTAAGTCTTAAAGTGAGAATAATCTAAAATGTAAGTCTTGTTTTGAAAAAGTATAAAATTCGAGCCTTAAATTAATAAATATATTAAAAGTTAGGCCTTCCAATGAAATTTCCCCATTTTTAAATTAGTTTATTCTGCAGCACTGCTTGCA